CTGGCATCGCTCTCAAGATGATAAGTTGTTATATCCCTTAAGGGGGTTCTTCTCATTTGTTATATCCCTTAGAGATCATTTTTTTTTAAATTGGCTAACATCCAGTATCTATAAAACTTTTGTTTTTGCTTTTTTCAGGCTGGAGGATAAATTTGGTCTCTCTTCCTTCCCCTTGGATGGAAGTAGAAGTCTTATTTTTCATTCCTAATGCCAATACAGATAGATAGATCCAAGAATTTTTCCCTATATGATTAATGACAGAATATACACATTCTAAATGCTTAGACTGAATTAAAATTTTGTATAAATATATTTGCAGGATTCTAGCTTGCCCACGATACAATATCTATGTGTTCACACACACACACACACACACACACAAATGTATGTGACTTTTGAATATACACACAAAATTTGCTAAGAATTGCTACCTAATAAAATTCAATAATATACTAAAATAACAGTATACTACGATCAAGAAATGAAGAATAAGTTAGGAAATCTGTTAACACAGTTGTTCCTTTTAAAATAATTAAGAGCTGGACTCTGAAATTAAACAAACCTGATCAAAATCTCAACAATACCACTTACATGCTGGGTAATTTGGGGCACTTAAGATATCTGGCCCATAGTTACCTTATCTTTATTATAAAAACTGACCTATTTGGACTAATGAGAAGAGTAAATGAAACACTGTTTGATGCAGTAGGCACAGTATTTTTGAATACCACAATACCACATCATTGTTTGTTTGTTTTTTTAAAGCTACTCTCTAGAATTACACAGAAATTTAAAAGTTTGTGGTGATCTGCTCCACATTCCAATACTCCAGAGCTTTCTTTGGCAATGTAAACTCAGCTTTTGCTCTGTGGAAGCAAATGTAGATTTAAAGTAAATGATTTGGGGTTAGCTATGAAAGCATTTTATAAATCTAAGACAGTATTATATTATTAGAGCACAAGTAAAATTTGATCATTCCATCAGACATAAGATTTGACGGAGCTCTAAATGCATTCTGCACGCTAGTGTACATCCTTTTATAGCTCAATGAATACTTAGCTCATGATAACCCAGTGTCCTCTAGCCCTGTCAAGAACAGATGGCCTCCTTTAAAGCTGTTTCCCCTTATTGAAATAATTTTGAACAATGGCTTTTGGTTCAGTAACTGACATAATTCATGCATATATTAATTCAAACATAGTGAATAGAGATGCAGCTGATATGTAAGAAACATTACTTAGGCCTATGCAGAATGTTGAGTGGGATATAAAGTAGCATATTTGTTCTGAAGATAGACCAGACATATATAAAAAAGGAAAACAATTATAATATAAATGAAGCATATTATAAGATAGAAAATATAAGGACCAAATTAAATATATGGCAACAAATAAATGCTGAGCTCAGTGGAGGAAGGATTGCTATGCACTGGAATGATCAAGTGAAGCTTCACATAAGAAGTGACTGTGGAACTGGGACTTAAGGTTGAGTGCAAGGTAAATCTGTGGATATGAAGGTATATTGGTGAAGCACCCTGTGTGAGGAGGTGCAGAATTTGTGGGGTATTAGAGGAAACGAGTGGGCCATGATTGGCCCATTTGGGTGATGTGCAGTGACATGTGGGAAAGTATTTGGGGACAGGTTTGGAAAAACAAGTTCAAGTGGAAGATTTTGTTCTGCAGGTACAGAGGAATATGGTAGAGATTGCTAGTTGCACACGGTACCCATTTTCCCCGTCTTCTGTGGTAGTAGAACTTTCTGGTTTGACTGGATACCTGCATGTCTAGAACAAAGACTATTTACCACACCCTCTTCATAGCTGTGAGATGAGAAAGAAAGCAAGGTGTGCTTCTGGGTATATCCTTAAAAGGAAGAAAAATGTTTCCTCCCCTCTTTCCCCTTTATCCAGACTGCTGTCTGGAATGTAGAAGTAAAGAGTGTCATCTGGGACCACGTGAGCAAGGAAAAGACCTTAGCACAGAGAGCAGTAGGAGAGAAAGACACCTTCAGGCAGCCATTACTTGGACTACTTAACACAAATGTGTTTTATGAAATGTAAAGTCACATCTATTTTGTTTAAGCCACTGTGTTGTAGCCAAACCAGTGTGCTCAGCTATTGCTTCCCTATCTTATTCATTTAGCCAGACAAGACATAGGATGTCCAGTCACCTTGAATTTCATTTACCCCAATGTGCCATCTGAATGACTTGTATAGAAATAAGTTAGACAGCTTTGTTTTATTTAAGTCAGAGAACCCCTGGAAACATTTGAGTAAGAAGGTGATATGCTAAGAATTTTGTTTTATAAGAATAAGTTAGAGTCATATTTAACAAGTCACTCCCTAGTCCTAGAATTAGGAATATAGGGTGTATATGGGGAGTATAGGGATCTAAAAGAAGGGGGCAGGGCCTCCCCTGGTGGCACAGGCGGTTGAGCGCAGTGCTATGAAGCTGTCCGCAGCCTCTGCAGTGAGGGTTCAATCCCTGCCAGCCGGCGAGAATCCCACATGGCGAGGCAGACCTCTCCTGTCTCGCCCGCTGCTCCCCTCAGCAGCGTACTTCGGTCCGTCTGCCTGTTCTGTTCCCTGTTCTGTCTCTGATGAATCCTCTCACCCTCCTGCACATCTAGCCTGTACCCTGGTTCTTACATGCATGAATAAATAAATCAAAAAAATAATAAAGGGGCATGGTGAAATGTTTAGAGATGATGAAATGTTCTCGATCTTGATTGCTATTGTGGGTCTATGAATGCATTGTTACAAAACCTCAACAATGTTGATTAAAGATGTTAATTTGACAGTGTATGTGCAAGATAGATAAGTGGGAAGAGATATGATGTAGGAAGGACAAAGCAGTTTATGACTTCAAAGCTTTACATAATTTGGACTGATTTTAGGGAAATAATAGACAAGTTAAAATTAACTAGATAAGAATCATTCTGAAGGAAGAAGTAACATAATTTGGAGACAAATTGTGCCTGGGGATACTGAGTCATGAATAGGTAAATCTGGTTTTTCTAGAGAAGGCATCAGTCGAGGTTCACCTCAGGTGGGTGAAGAGACGGTAAATGTAAAGGGAGGAAGGGAGCTACTGCCACTGACTGGTTCAATAATTTCCTCAGTTTCTCCTATTGAAAAATAGGGTTAATGATGTTGACAGATTTTGAAAAAGTAGTGAAGAACATGCCTAGCACCCTGTGACTTCGCATCTAGTAGCACACATGAATGTGTGAGATAAAGAACAATTATAATAATATATTATTATAGAAAATGAATGAGCTTTCAAGACAAAGCAGAGCCTCTTCTGTATATATTTCTAGGAGGCGCTTGGATGTGAGAAAATGAGAGCTCAGTTAATAAGATGAATCCACTTAGAAATCACAGGATGACAATAGGAGGTAAGGCTGAGTGAAGTAGCAGCAGTTAGCAGTGTTTTTCAAAAATGGGGTGGCTTCTTTGCCACAGAAGATTCAGTGGTGTCTTCATTTCTTTTCTTTACCTCCCTTGACTCATCCACAGGAGTGGGAGTTCAGACAAAAAGGAAGTTCTGTGGCATCCTGTTTAAGATTCTCCTCATATAAGATTTGGTTCCTGGCCCATTTTCTGTCAGACTTCCTGAGATCAGAAAGCAATGCATAAAAATTCTCAGGCTCGACAGTGAACTCTCCTGAGTTCCAGACTAGAATTTACAGCTGCCTGCAGACATCTCCATCTGCATGTCCTGCAGGCATGTCCAACTCAGTATGTCCAAAACCAAATTAATTACCCTCCCACACACCCGTTCTCCACTCCAGTCTTCTATCTAGATTAATGCCATTGCCAATTTACCAGGGACAAAGTCTAGAAATTTCAGTTCTTTTACTTCTGATCCCACATACCCCAAGATCAACCTACTGCCAATTATGATGGATTCATCCTGCTGTAACCTGTAAACCTGTTTGCTCGGTTTTTATACTTCCATGGTCCTGGTGAGGATCCTTTTCTCTCTGTAGGTCAAAGCCAGAGTCCCCCTCCAGAGGCTCCTGCATTTTTCTGCTCTAAAGCAGTCCATACTTTGACCAGGTAAAGAATGGCCAGGTCTGGGGTGTTGTATAACAGGATACCTGATTTTTGACCCTGAGATTCTCACTCGGCCAAGTCAGCTAATTTCTGAAACACAAATCATTTCTCTTTCTTTTTTTTTTTTTTTAATAGAGGCATGTTTTTATTATTATTTATTTATTTATTTGTTTGTTTGTTTGTTTATACATGCACTGGGTATAGTCAGAAGCGCGGGAGGGTGAGAGAATTCACCAGAGCCAGAGCGGGGAGCAGAGCAGGCAGAAGGACCAAAGTACACTGCTGAGGGGAGCAGCGGGCAGCAGGAGAGGTCTGCGCGCCATGTGGGACCCTCCTCCAGTGGCCGGGGAGCAGCCAGGGATCGAACCAGCGCCGCAGAGGCTGCGGGCAACTTCGCAACCCAGCGCTCAACCGCTGCGCCACCGGGGAGGCCCCAAATCACTTCTCTTTCTGACAACATTTCAATGATTTTCTATTGAGCTTACAGAATGAAATTCAAAAACCTAAATCTCACATATTTCCTTTCCCATAGAATCTCCTTGAGCATTCTGTACTCTAAATGTAGTGACATACAATGTTCTCCATGAGCTAACTAAAGCTCTGTTCTTCCTTCCTGACCAAGTTTGAAGATCATCTCCTTGGGGAGCTACCTCAACTCTACTCTTCACCTCATATTCCTAAGCATGGCCCCACTCACTGAATACTCCTGTATTTAACTTTATATGTGGTTAGCACAAGTGTCTCTCAACCAGATTTTAAAGTGGTTTAAGCACAGACACCATTCCTAATTGTCACCTCTGCATCCCCAGGGCACTTTGAATGGACTATTAGCCAGTCCAAAAGTAATCTTCTTAAATTTCTGCTTTAAAAATGGTAATTTTTAGAAAAGAAAGCTTTTAAAAATTCCCAAAGAAAGAGTTAACAAAGTACCCAGTGAACTCCCTCAGTTCTGCCATATTAAACACACTTTTTAAATTTCCTTACAGCTTTATTATTCCAGGTGCACTGCTTCCATAAGAGGCTTTTGTGGACCATTGGTATAAATGTCATTAGTTCCCATTATGCAAATGCATTATACATCAGATGACTGTCTAACTTTATTTTGACTATTCTAGAGAATATTATGTCAGGTAATATATTAAAATATCTGATGTCTAAAAATATAGACATCCACTTTTATTTATAATTTGAGGATTTTATTTTACTGAACTAAACACAATATATGTTTGTTCTTTCTGTGAACAGAAAAGGAGCTGAATTTAACCATTATCCAAATAATTCAAATAATACTCACAGCTGTTTCAATTATTTGGGTACTACTGGTGAAAGTATGGGGAACTGGGATATTGAGGAAATTATAAAAAAGGTTTTAATTGAGCAAGTGATTTGACCAGTTTTCATTTAAATCCATAGAAGATATGAAATCTGGCAGTTGACTTTAAATATTTTATTCCTTAGGCTCATTTGCTTTCAAAAATTATTTTTAAAAAGGGATTCAAAATCACTAGGAAGACAAACTAACAAATGTCATACTTTTAATAATATATTGAACACTACATTCTTTATCATTTAGCTCAAAAACAAACTTAAAAAATACATGGGCATCTTTTTTTTAGTGAAGATGCACAGTCTTATAGATTAGTTCAAGAGTTTGAAAAATCATCATTTTTACCATATTCAATCACATTTCATGTATTTTTTCCCTTGCTAATCTTAGTGGTAAAAATGCTTATCATGTCTAAAACTTACACACAGTCAAATTATTACTCTCTGGAAAATATTTATTGACACATTTTAATGTTCTTTCCATTTTCAGAGAAATAAACAAAACAAAATACAGTAAAATGCACTTTCCCATTTCAAATAAATATATTTTACTCTTGTAAAAATTTAATAATCTGTGTAACTCACCACATATCTTAATCAGTGAAATAAAGCAAAAAAAAAAAACAACCTAGTTGAATTGTCACTTATGTAATGATTCTTACAGCATTTTGCTGGAGAAAAGAAACACTATTCTCTGTAGAACTATTGCTTCTTGTTTGGAGAAGGCACAGATAATCTCTTTAAGAAAGTGTTTCAGTGTCAAAGAGTCTTAATTAGGAAGAAAGTATCCAAATTTTTGCCAAATGAACTAAATTACATGTAAACTCAATTGTTAATACTTTCTAAAGACGAGATTGCATTTTGAATTATAATGACTCCTTTATATCATACTGGTAGTTTTTCAAAATTAGTGGTTAAGTGTTTAAATTAACAGTTATATATGTAATATAAACCCAAGTCAGAATTTTAAAGCTCTATTAGCAGGAAAGGTTAAAAATAATGGTGCTATACAAGACAAATTTATCTTTTTCATAACTATTATTCTTAACATTGTAAGAACTGAAATCTACTGAATTATACAGACTTAACACAGGCTCTTTATACACACAAATCCCTGATCAGTTTAAGATAATGTATTAGTTTGTTCTTGGAAGTAGTAAGAATATTTTAGTAACCAACAATAATCACACTTAGGTAGTCACCTATCTTTGGAGTTTTCTTATGTATAATCTATCCATCACATCAGAAGAATATATCACCAAGTAATAAAAGTCATTAGTACTGCCTAACTCCCTATGTTAGCAGTTAATTGGTATTTTAAATACTAATAAGCTTATGGAAGTAAATCAAACTTTACTGTAGCTCCAATTCCACCATAGCATCCCTCACTTACATGATGGAGAAATGTTGGTCAAACTATGCCAGAGCATAAATGTCAAAGCATAACTGTGTTCAGTAAAAATCTTAAACATGCTATAAAGTAGGTATTAGATCTGTCTTCAGCATTATAAAAGCCAATAACTATTGTCCAACTGATGTGTTATCATATGAAACTTCTCCCTCTTCATTTTAAAGGGTAGAAAATTATATGCCTACTCATCCTTTATGGCATCCAGATATTTCTGAAACAGATAAGTGTATACTCAAAAATTCACAAGTTCAATAAAATAAATGTGTGGTTTCCTTTTTTGATATTCTCTATAATTCCTCCATCTCGAAGTGTGTGTTAAAGCTGTTGGCCACAGGTGTGTGTTCAAAGATCCTCGACAGGCTTGGTTTCAACAGTTCTACTGAGTGACATGACAGGTGTTGAGTGGTGTCATTCTTCAGGGACATCATTTGCTCTGTCCCAGGCTCCCGTCGATCATAATAGAGAGCCCAGAGGAGAGTGATGGTGAGAATCATCGCGAGGATCTGGGTCACTCCAATGGAGATTCCCAGAAACCTTAGCACCTGCAATTGTTTGGTTCCTCTCAAAAAGGAATACATTTTCTTTCCACATCCCTGTAAAAGAAGTAGCACAGTTAATACTATTTTGAGTGTTTTATATTTTATAGAAGGTCAAACAAAAGAGTGAAAGCAATCTGTATCAGTTAATGAAACTAAACACCTTGAATCCTAGAGTTTACAACAGTAACTCTCAACAGGCAATGCCCATGAGAAGCTGGAGGAGAGACAGGTGTGAAGCTATTGAAAAGCCTGCTCAGGTGATTCTGATGAGTCTACTCTCATTTCTCTCTTTTTCACAACTTGAAATTGAGAACCACTGATATAAAACTGATAGAAGTTGACAAACTTTTGTTTGGTAAAGGGCCAGATCGTAAATCTCTTAGGCTTTGCAAGCCATTTTGTTTTTGATGCAATTACTCTGCTCTACATTGTAACATGAAAACAGTCCTAGATGATAATATAAATGAATGGATGAGACTGTGCATTGAAACTTCACGTGTAAGAAAAAAGTTACCTTAGATTTGGGTACCTAATACAGACTGATTTGCAAATCTCAAAAATATTTCCTTATTATATGTATCCACTGTTCAACGCTAGCTCCCTTGGTCAAAGACTTCTGTAAAGATCAAGAATGTTTCCATATTTTGCTGCAGAACCATGCTAGTGGGTAGAAATAACAAGTACATTTTTCCTTAACCCCCACAGGCACAGAGACTCTGACTACTGCCTGTATTGGAAACACACATGGGGAGATTCTGGCAATGATATCCTGTTCTGCCAGGTAAGGTTCTGAAAGATAGCTTTAGCTCCCCTATGAGCTGGAAACACCTGACTTGAAATGTTTAGAAAGGTTTTTACTTGTTTATTTGTGCCTAGTTTTCATAATAAATGGCTAAAGAGTAATCTGTGGCAGATATAAAAGAGAATTCTAAAAGAAGGGGCAGGAGAAGGAAGAAGAAAAAAATGATGAGGAGGAAAACAAGAGATGGGGGAGACAAAAAGAGGTAGAATATGACTGATGTCATAAGTTACTTTTCAGGTTGACTAGGGAAGCAGATTCTAAATAAAGGGACACAGTTAGGGAACAATTTTGCAATTACATTTCAAGAACTTCAGAGATTGAGATTTTTCTCTACTTGGAAACCAAAAAATTAGCCTGCCATGGTTTCAGGGATGCTGGTAGAAGAGAAACAAAAGACTTCATCATGCATAACATTAGCAATAGCCAGATCCTGCCAGCTCAAGTGCCAAGGGCAACACCAAGAACACAGATGACAACTGGCAAGGAAAGGATCTTGGAAGAGTCTTCTCCAAATAAGCAATGAACACACTAAAAAAAATTGTCAGAATCAACATTTTTTTAGAGTTCTGGAAATAAACCAAAGACTTGTAGCAATTGGAAGAGTTTTTATCCAAGAAAATCATCTGAATCTCAGAAAAAAGCAAGTTTTGTGATATTTTCGTTTTCCATATTCCCAGTCCCCCTGTCCAGTGCTGTCGTAGCCTTGAAAACAAACAGCCCACACTCAAGGTGAACACCAGAGAAGCCTGGCAGTCACCAGAGGAAACAGAGCAGGGCTGGAGTCACATTTCCAGGCAACTGTCACTGTGTCCTACCTGGAAGATAGGGTTCCCTGGAAGATCTCACTAGTAAAGTCTCCTTTATTTGACCTGACTTGCAGCTCGGCCAGCCTTTCCCCTGGGTTGTGTTTTTTTTTTTATCATAAACAATGGAGATAACTACGAGGACACTGAGGCTGCCCCAGGCAATGGACAAGAGCTGCACAGTGGGATAGTCACAAAGCTTCAAACAAAGCAGCATAAAAACACAGTGTTGTAAACCAATGTTACCTTAATAAAGAAAAGAGTGGGGGAGGCGGGGAGAATGCAGACTTCATAGAGGGCTTGGCAAAGCTCACTTATTTGTGGGGTTATAGAAAGTGACACAGAAGTAGGGCTTTGCTCATGCCCAGGGCCATGCACAGGCTCAGGAGAGACCTTCGAAGGTTCTGTAATCCTGCCGCTGGCTGCACTTTGACACCATTAGCAAAGCTTGGAAACTTACTGGGAGCAGGCATCTAAGGATGCCTCTGTTCATTCATTACCTGACCACTGAGTTACCTGAGCTGAGACTTCAGTGGCCAATTATGACAAAGAATACAAACCTTACAGAATTATGTCAGAATTACGACAAAAAAGACACCCAGGGCCTCCCCGGTGGCGCAGTGGGTTGAGCGCCGCACTGTGAAGCTGTCCACAGCCTCTGCAGTGCCGGTTCGATTCCTGCCTGGCCAGTGAGAATTCCACATGGCACGGCAGACCTCTCCTGTCTCGCCCGCTGCTCCCTTCAGCAGTGTGTTTCAGGTCCTTCTGCCTGTTCTGCTCCCTGATCTGTCTCTGGTGGATTCTCTCACCCTCCCACACCTCTGGCCTGTACTACAGAGCTTGCATAAATAAATAAATCTTTAAAAAAATAATAAAAAAGAAAAAGAAAAGACATCAATGAACAAACAACAACTAAACAACAAACTCAGGGGCAGGGATACAATCTGATCTCCAGGATTGTCGTGCTATGTTATTAAAATGTCTCAACATTATCAGTAGCAATAAGAACTAATGAGAACGGGGCCTCCCCGGTGGCGCAGGGGTTGAGCGCTGGGTGGCGAAGCTGCCCTCAGCCTCTGCAGCGCCGGTTCGATCCCGGCTGCTCCCGGCCACCAGAGGAGGGTCTCACATGGCACGCAGACCTCTCCTGCCGCCCGCTGCTCCCCTCAGCAGTGTACTTCGGTCCTTCTGCCTGCTCTGCTCCCTGCTCTGGCTCTGGTGAATTCTCTCACCCTCCTGCGCTTCTGACTGTACCCAGTGCTTGTATAAATAAATAAATAAATAAATAAATAAAAATAAATCTTTAATTAAAAAAAAGAACTAATGAGAAGAGCTGCAAAAAAGACATACAAATAAACAAAAATCAATCTCTCTCTGTCTCTGTCTCTCTCTCTCTCACACACACGCACACACACCCCATGGAAGAAAGTGCACTTCCAGTGAGCCGAGCCCGGTCTCACTACGCAGCCTTGCCCACACTCCTAACAAGTGTTTCCTTACTTTAGACCTTTCTTCTCAATAAGGACGCACTGGTGATGCTCTGCTCTCAGTCTATCCCTTTCTTGCAACGTCAAAGCTGCAGTCATTTCTCTCTCTTTAACTATTTTCTTCTCCAGACTAGATATTTCCAGATACATATGCCTCATCATCTTGAGGATCTCTTTCTGGGTTGTAGTGATTTTGCCAATATTTCTTGAAAATAACACAAACTAGAAAATGCAATAAAATGTTAAGATACTCCAGGCTGTAGTGAATGGGTTTAGACCGCATGGAAAAGCTTTCTGTTCTTGGAGAAGAGGGGGGATAGAGTATATTGACAGGACCTCTTTCCAGATCACTGAGCCCTGATGTTGTCTCCATGTTGAGGCAGACAAGGGTGGTTTATTGAAAGCAGAGTCCTAGGTTGAATCTTAAATTTTTATAACAGTATGTCAGTCTTAACACTTTGTTTAGTTCACAAAGCAGAGATTAAACCCTCAAACAAGACAGAACTATGGTACTTAAGTTTTTCTGCAAAAGTCATTAAAATATATCTTATTTCTGCTTCTCTTTTAAGAACCCCTCAAAGAGAGATACTACCTACATATTTTTTAAGATTTATTTATTTATACAAGAACTGGGGTACAGGCCTGAGGCGCAGGAGAGTGAGAGGATTCACCAGAGACAGAGTGGGGAGCAGAACAGGAAGACAATCGAAAACACTGAGGGGAGCAGCAGGCGAGACAGGAGAGGTCTGCCACACCATGTGGGTATCCCCGCAGCAGTCGGGGATCAAACCCATGCTGTAGAGGCTGCAGACAGCTTCACAGCACTGCTCTCAACCTGCTGCGCCACCAGGGAGGCCCTACCTACATATTTAAAAGAAATTAAAACAATGGCCATTTCTAGATACTTTAAATTATGTTCAAGAATCAAACCAGGCTACAAAATCTGCCACTTGGCATGGTAAATTATGCATGGCAATAATTATGCATGGCAATAATTATGCCCTTGCATATTATTCCCCATTATATGTTATTTTAGTGACGTTGATTGAAGAATATGTAAAACTGTGCTCCATAAAATTTTTGGAAAGTAGTATTGAAGATATTTCCCTAGGTAACTTAGAGTAGTATATATAAAATCCCACTTGAAAAAAAACACTTTAGAATTTTGTACTCTTTGAAATGCAAGAACATTTGATGTCCTAATATTAAAATCAAGCTGGCATTTGTCTCCTTATTACTTGGGCTATGAAAAAACTCAAAGGCAAATATAATCTCAAAAACTATAATCTGTCTACCTTCCTGTTAAAGTATACCCACTCATTCTTTCCTTAATCTGGGCTTAGCAATTTAATTACATTTTATTATTGATTGTGTTCTTTTTGTTGTATCCTACATTAAATCCTTTATTTCATAAAAAAGTTCCAGGCTATCAATGTATAAGTAAAATTACAAATCTCTCCATAGTGCACACAATTTAATATCTTCCAATGACTCAGAAGGCACTGTAGAAACTTGCAGCATATTAGGTAACATGCTGAATATCAACAAATCATTTACACAATTAAAGTTAAGGATTAACTTTCCAAAAGAATATTCTTCCTGAGAAGACAGTATTTTTCCAGATTTCTGTGTATAAAATAATTGTCCTCCCCAGCCATTCCCTAAATTCATCCTCATTGAGAAATTTAGTCTGAACAAAAGTTGGGCACTTACTTTGAACCAGACAAATAATAATGCTTACGGTTTATTTTGTTTATTTATTTTTTTAAACACCTGACCAGCCCTTCTCAGAATGGTCAAGATCTTTTTTTTAAAAAAAAAAAAGATTTATTTATTTATACAAGCACTGGGTACAGTCAGAGGTCGGGAGGGTGAGAGAATTCACCAGAGCTAGAACGTAGAGCAGAACAGGCAGACAGACAAAGTACACTGCTGAGGGGAGCAGCGGTTAGCAGGAGAGGT